AGAAAGGGCAACATTGGATATGGTGGTGTGTGAGAGCGGGGGAGGGGGGGATTGCTATGAAGAATTGTATGAGTGAAAAATTAACACGTATTCCGTGAACAAAAAAAAGGGGGGGGGAGCGGTGGGGAGGTAAGGATGAACACGTGTAGCTGCGTCTCACGTGTAGCTGCGGATGAACACGTGTAGCTGCGGTTTGGAATTGAAAACTCATAGGGGTTTTCTTTGTGTATGTACCATACCGAATGAATTATTGAACCCCTTTAAAGACGTTTATACCTACTGGCTGGAGTGCATTAAACTTGTGAATAAGGTACGACTCTATATTTTCTGTCTCTTGCGAACCAAAAGCTTCAAGCATGTAGAGTTTGAGATCGTGTAAGTCGTATCCTACAACATTAAAACATTGTGCCGCTGCTTTTGGAGATTTCCTTGCCCTGCCCGAACGATGAGCGTTTAATATAACAATAACAGGTGTCCCTGTTTCACCAATGTACTGTTTATGACAATATGAAGATTCAATAAGGTAATAACACTCTCACTAGTGCCGGCAAAACTACATATTGTCGCTACTGGCAGATCGAAGTTGATGAACGAGATCGTAAAAAACCGCCTTCGTTACACCGGATGGCCTATATGAATTCAAAGTGCTTCCCTTCGGCCTCTGTTCTACACCTGCGACATTCCAGAGAATGATGGACACTGTTCTTACCGGTCTAAAGTGTCACACGTGCTTAGTTCACGTCGATGATGCTGTCCTGTTTTCTGCCCCCTTTGAGGAGCACCTGAAGCGTCTGCAGAATGTGCTGGATAGCGCTCCGCTCTGCTAACCTGACACTTAAGCCAGAAAAATGCCATTTGGGTTACAAGGAACTTAAGTTTCTCGGCCATGTTGTCAGTGCGGATGGTATTCGACCAGACCCTGACAAAAGTACCGCCGTGGCCTAGTTTCCTGTTCCACGTGATAAGAAGGCAGTGCGTCACTTTCTAGGGCTCTGCGCGTACTATCGCCACTTTATAGCCAATTTTTCTTGGATTGCTGAACCGCTCACTCGACTCACTCGTGAAGATGTTCCATTCGTCGGGGAGGAAGAACAGGACGCAGCTTTCTCAACTACGGGACCGTTTGCAGACACCACCAGTCCTCGCTCACTTTGACCAAGACGCTGATACTGAAATTCATACTGACGCCAGAAACGTGTGTCTTGGTGCTGTCCTCGTACAACAACAAGAGGGCACAGAGCGCGTGATGGCGTACGCAGGCCGCACCCTTTCCCGCGCGGAGGTCAACTACTCCACGTCAGAGAAAGAGTGCCTCGCTGTTGTATGGGCCACGATGAAATTTAGGCCTTACCTTTACGGACGCCACTTCAAGGTAGTGACCGACCATCATTCGTTGTACTGGTTAGCCAACCTATGGGACCCGTGTGGGCGACTGGCACGATGGAGTCTTCGTCGGCAGGAATGCATTTTCACGATCGCTTACAAATCGGGCCGCAAGCACGAAGATGCTGATTCATTATCCCGTGCTCCTGTCGAAGTTTGTGGCCACGACACCAAGGAAGACGATAGTTTCCTTGGGGCCCTTACTACAACATATCTGATTACGCGACAGCGTGCGGACGATGAAACTCGCGCAGTTATCTAAAACCTTGAAGGACGCAACTCGTCCATACCTCGATGTATTTCTCGAAGTCTGTCATCGTTCTGTCTGCGAGATGGGGTCCTGTATAAGAAAAACTCCAACGGCAATGAGAGAACCTATCTTCTAGTCGTGCCAACTGACATGCGTGACGACATTCTTCTTGCCTGCCACGATGAGCCCACATCAGGTCCCCTAGGTTTCTCTCGAACTCTCGCTTGAGTTCGACAAGCATACTACTGGCCTAAGCTTTCTGCATCAGTTAAGCGATACGTGAAAATCTGCCGGGAATGTCAACGCCGCAAATCCCCGCCACTAAAGCCCGCGGGGCTTCTTCAACCAATAGAACCACCCAGAGCGCCATTTGATCAAATAGGAATGGATTTACTGGGGCCCTTTCCGCTATCATCTGCCGGCAACAAGTGGATCGTAGTAGCCACCGACTATTTGACGAAGTACGCCGAAACAAAGGCACTACAACGCGCTACTGCTTCCGACGTCGCCCAATTCTTTATGGACCAGATCGTTCTTCGACATGGCGCCCCGTCGTGCGTAATCACAGACAGAGGAACAGCATTCACGGCCCAGCTCATTCATGACGTATTCAAGCTCAGCTACACGAGCCATCGCAAGACCACGGCATATCATCCGCAGAGCAACGGCTTGACAGAGCGACTCAACAAGACCATCGCTGACATGTTATCTATGTACGTAGATGTTCAGCATAAGACCTGGGACCAGGTGCTACCGTACGTCACATTCGCGTACAATACTGCCGTCCAGGAAACTACGCGATTCACGCCTTTCCGTCTTGTCTATGGACGTGAGGTCCATACCATGCTGGATGCGATGCTTCCACACAATTGCGATGCTTTGATCACTCCTGATGCTGTGCAGCTTACCCAGTACGCCGAAGAAGCACGCCAGTTAGCACGCCTACACATTACACGCCAGCAGAGTACAGACGCATGCAGCTACAACGCTCGCCATCGACAAGTTGAATACCATCCAGGCGATCAAGTTTGGGTGTGGACTCCAGTCCGATGCCAGGGATTGTCAGAAAAACTGCTCAGTCGCTACTTCGGACCATACAAAGTCTTGCGACGCGTGAGCGATGTGAACTACGAGGTAGTCCCTGACGGCGCCTTCTCGCCACGACGGCGAAGGCACTCCTCAGAGATTGTCCACGTGGTGCGCCTGAAGCCATACTTCACGCGGTAGTGCGACTGCGCATGAACCATATCGCTGTTTTTATGTATGCGCGTATTTTCTGTTGGTTCGTCCCGACTTTGCCTTTGTACTTTCCGAGCATCAGAGTGATGCCTTTTTTTTTCTCAGAGGGTGAATAATGCCACTTGGCCGCTAGTTACGGCGAGCACAAGCCATGACTGCCCGCGAGAATGAAAGACGATGTTCTGGGCAGCGCGTGCTCTGGCTAGTTGTTTATTATTGAAGCAGCTATCTTGCCAGTTTTCGTTGCGTCTCCCCGCCGGCTCAGTTCTTCCTAGTTGAAGACCTTTTGTAGCACGTGACAATATATAAGGTGAACAGAATCACTTCTGGCACTTTTAACTACGATGTCGTCTTGTAGGTGTTTACAAGTCTTGCATCTTGGAAGGGAGCGAGCAAAGTGTTATTTGGGCAATAGAACTACTCTACTTTTTTATGCATTATCATGTTCTTCAAATTCAGAAATGCTGGAATTCACTCGATATAGTACATACACAAATAAAACCACTGCGAGATAAGCCCTTCATCTAGAAAATTCAATCCTGCCATTGCTAATTTCTGGAAACCGGTTCGACAACTTAGACTCTGCGATACATGTAGATCCTTACCTACCCAACACTTCGTTTTTTTTTGTTCACAGAATACCTGTTCCTTTTTTTATACATGAAAATCGTCACCGCGATCCCCCCTTCCATACTTTCTCACACCACCATATCCAATGTTGCCCCTCCTTTGATAGGATGGAGGAAAGGGCACGAAGCGTAAACACGCTAGCACTAAAGAAATAATTTCTGTTCTAGCCTTGATGAAGACAAGTCCGCTTGTCTAAACATTGGCTCGATAAGACCCCTGTTTACGGATTTTTCGTATGTGTAATAAAGCGTTTTAGAACAGCCAAAGGACAACCAGGCATCACACAATGCGAATTGCGTAACGAGTGGGTCATCGAATGTTCTAACTCATTACAAACGCTTCCGGCGCAATTCTTCACCGTTGTCAGCGACAGCATAAAAAATGCACACAGTTCTTCTCTCGTGTGTAGCGGGTACCACGCTTCTCGGAAGAATGACAAAGGATGGCATACTGAATGCCTCCCTGCTACGCAAATACTGTGATGATCAATGGCGTAGTGGGTACCTTGAAAGTGTGCTTGTAGCAGTTATTCAATGAATGCTTAAAAGGGCTCTGAAAGGCCACTCTTCCAGCTTCTGCTATGACATGTGCTACGCGTTCCGCCATGACCTGGCGGTTTTTTAACGCAAATGCATTACTTAGTCTGGCTATGTCCAGCATCCGGCGTTGTCCGCGTTGGTGTCCGCGCGACGGAAGGTGTTATCTCTCCGCTCTCACTCCCTCTCCTATATCAGCACCTGCGGGCGCACGCAGTTATCCTCGCCCCAATCAACCGAAGCATGTGGAGTGAAAGAGTGTAGGAGAAGGTAGGTACAGTGCTTCGCCGCTCCTCTCAACGTTCGCTCTCTCTCCTCCCTGCGCCCCACTCTTCCGTCCACTCGCGCCTCCCTCTCGGCCATTCGCTGACTGGCCGCCTCACAAGAACATCCTGAAATTTGTGCTCGAGACGCCGTGTGAAACGCCAACGCCGAGCCAAGAACGCTGGCGCCCCACTCTCTCGTCCGCTCGCTCCTAACTTTCGACCGTTCGCTGGCTGGGCGCTTCTCAAGCCGATGGCAGAAGTCGGGGAAGGCAAATGTCTGACGGCAACAGTACTCTCTCTCTCGGCGCAAGAAATGCATTCGCAGTTCGTCAGGATTCCTTTTGGGGAGGTGGGGGCATTTCTTTAAAGGGCCAGTCAACAGGCTCCGTAACGTGCAGGAAAAGCTCGCGCATTTTTCCTGCGCGTGACCAACCTTCTTCCACACGCAGTGACGTCAACTCGGCGATCGGCGACGTTGACTAAATTACTCTTATTGATACCTGGTTTAGACCAATCGACGAGCTGCGTGCTACGTCACGTCGCCGATCGCCGAGTTGACGTCACTGCGCGTTGAAGGAGGTTGGTCACGCACAGCAAAAATGCGCGACCTTATCCTGCGTGTTCCGGAGCCTGCTGACTGGCACTTTAGGTAACACTGCTTCACCGGAAAGCATAGAGGTTTGGCGTAATACTCACCACCGCCCGAGCCTGGAGAAGGAGGAGCACGCCCTGGCACACACAGATCTTGTCCTCGTGGAGCTGGAAGCCAGGTCGGCGTCGCCTCCTCCCGTCGAGCCCGTGCAGGTGGTGGTGACAACGCCACCAGGAGTCGTGGTGGCGGTTGCGGCGTTCGTGCCAGCCGTGCCACCTCCCCTGGTATCCAGGGAGGAAGGCAGGCCGTTCATGTCGTAGGCCGAGAGGACGCAGAAGCGGCCCTCGTCCATGCAGCAGTGCGGACAGCCCGACAGCGTTACCGCCGCCACGGCTGCGCTGCTAAGGACGGACTGGCGGCAGAGGCCCAATGGGCGACGCGGTCGGGGCCGCGCCGGCGATGCTCACCCGTCGGTCAAAAACGACGACGGGAATGGGACGGAACTCGAAGGCGTGCCTGCCGCCCTTCGAAGACTTTTATCAGAAACCGCAATGATTGATCTCCTGTAAGCGGTAAAGAGAAAAAGGAAGGACACATTAGCGAGCATTATATATAATGTACAGTACAATCTCGCTGTAACAAAGTCGATTAGTTTCTTATTTAGATGAAATTGTTAAAACGACGGCTCAGAAGGAAAATAATGCTACTAAGGAACGAAATTGACGTAATTATGTTCAGTGTATCGTTATAAGAGGTAGAGATACAAGTTAACGCAGAACAAAAAAACTTGCGAAGATATTTGCGTTTTTTTTTTGACAATCGCTTTATTCTTCGTTAGCAGGTCTTGTTACACCAAGTTTCTCCTGTAAGTTGTTTTGCACTGCAGTCCAAAAGGCGGACTTTCTTTCTTTTTTTTCATTTCACTTTTCCCACGTGCAGGGTGGCCACCCACTCTAAAAACTGGCTAAGCTCCCTGTCTTGAAATCATGATGATTCAAAAGCGATGTTGCCTATATAAACGGTTACCTCTTTCTGGAATAAACATTGTTGCAAGTAAAGCCTGTCCCATGTTCATCTGTCCATGTGCTTTTTCGTGCGTTAGAAACTTCAGTACTGTCTTAGCGCCCGTTTCCTTCTTTTTTACTATACTCTCACTCCAAGTTAGCTTGTTCAGTGAAATAGCAGGTGAATTCCTCACATTTTGAGCTGTCTCCGATCAAGTAACTGTTAATAATGTTGCGGCTCAAGTCGCACCATCGGGGGTGCTTCTACTCATGTGCATTGTTCAAAAGGAACTGCGATTCTTAACCAATCATGTAAAATTAAGATTTGTTAATTGCTAAAGTGACTTGGAATACCTAATAATAATTCTGAATTATAATACCACGCCGTCTACCAGCCCCGTTATTAACCGTCGAGGCATTGCGGAACGATACGCAGACGTGACTTCGAGGTGGTGGAGCACGTGCGTCCCAGGCGAAATGAGAACGAGCTATAGCGTGCATGCGAGACATCCTTAAGGCCGTTACATTATGACCCACTTGATGAAGAAATGCGGCACCTGTTACAAATACAGGGGGAATAAGAGGCGCGAGCGACAGCCACGAGCGCTGGCTCACTCAGTTGATATATGTTACCTTCAATGTAGCCAGACGAACGGGTCTGGGTCTCCTCTTCGTTGTCTACAGCCCCTACGCACCAGTGGTGCAATGGCTGAGGAAGTAGCTGTGCTGCATGGTGGCGTTTCCCACCCCTTTCTCTTACTCTAACCCTCACTTCTCTTCCCATCCCCGCAGTGGTGTACTAAACGAGACTGTACCATACAAGACTACGCTATGCTTTATCATCCTCTTTGTCCTTTTGCTCCTCCTGACCCTGTGTTTCCTTTGCCACACCTATACTATACATGTATATACTATGCTCCATTCAATCATTCTCACCCTCACATCCCCCTTCGTTCCACCCATTGCCATACTTTACAACAGATGGCTATGATATGCTTTACCCTGTCCCCCTTATCCTTTCTATCCTCCTCACTCACACATCTCTCCTCCTGATCCTTGCATCGCCCCCTCTCCTTTCTGCACTGTATTAACCATCCATGGCTATGCTATGCTTTACGCTATCCCCTCATCCTTCCCTTGCTCCTGCTGTCACATTCTTATTCCCTTACTATGCTATGCTATGCTTTACTATGCATGCACTCTCCTCCACCTCTCCTGCGTACCGTTGCGTTGTAGAAGTATACTCGGCTTTTCTTCTCTCTTGGACCCTCTGTCTCTCCCTCTTCGCAAGTTTCGCGTGGTCTACAAACGACGCTACTATAAGTTTGAACAGTTCTAAAAGGTGGCTGTTCCGGCCACGTGGACACCTTTTTTTATAGCGCACCTGCTTTCTATATCTTCGCAGCACACGTTATGTACACTGAGAAAGGAAAAATTGCCCACCCTTGTCGCACGAACAATCTTTCAGTTATCTGGAAATGAAAATGTCGTATATTAGCCGTGAAATTCATCCGTTATACGCTCTACTTGTTTAGTCGCCCTACCATTGGCGGAGAAGAGCAGGTTTAGGGCGTCCTACAGTTACTGTATATGCTATGAAATCCCCCCCTCCCGACATTTTCATGTTTTCCACGTGTACATATACACGCACAAATAAAGACACACTCACGAGCATACATACTCAAAAGACGATAGAACCAAGTCAACGTCAAGATCATGCATGATGCGAAGTCAGTGTACGTTAAACTCCCATGAAACAAACTAAATCTACGTTAAGGCCGCGTCATCCACAATACTGAAAAGACTCCTACGAGAACGGCTACGATGGAGCAACGGCCAGCGCGCACCGCAATCTTCAAATGCACGCACCGCCATTCGGCGCTTCCGACTCTCCCAGCGTAATCAATGCCGCCCTAACGAGCCACGTTTTCCCATTCACGGCACTTATTCGGCGAACGGCTTTCAGCATCACCAACGACCCTCGAATAAACACCTATCACCCGACAAAGACAAAGCGAGGGTCATTCTCTTTTTTTTTATTTCTTGCTTACGGGAGACTGGAAACAGAACGACCGGGTTGCTGCGGAGGGCGCTCCTGAAATCGTAAAAAAACGCAAACCAACGCGCAAATTGCGAAGAGCAATTAGCGACCAGAGCGCCGGCTCCCGAATCGGCTGGTCGTTTGGCGCCCCCGACTAGGGTGCAATCTGCCTCGAGCAGACGACGTGACGCACTTAACGTCACAGCTCTCGACAGAGAGAGGGTTTAGACTCGCAATTCGCGGAGTAAGACGACGCCCAATCGTGCTAGTTTTAGGCGCGGGAGATGGGCGACGCCTTAGTCACGGCGAGATTGGATGCTCCTTGGTCCAAACCTTTTTTCATGCAAGCTGACTGCGGCGCTGCTCAAATACGGGCTTCTGTGAGACGTGGCGTCTTTAGAAGGGCCGAGACGGGACGTTATCATCGAATAGCATTTGGATAGAATGGCAGCATAAGAACGACGGGTCAGTCGGAATCGATTCGTACGGGACCCCCCGTTTGCCAAGGCCATCGGTAATGTCCGCAGAAGGGATTTGCACGTTACGCAAGCGGACGGGGGCGCGGCACCGGAGAAAATACCTCATTTCCATCGCCGAGACGAGAGCGCACAAATCAACTCGATCCGGTCATCAGGATCCTCCTGAAAAGAACCGAGGGATGTTTCCTAGGAGACGGAGCTTAAATTAGGGGTGAAGGTCTTTTTTTTTGGGAGGCTCGCATAAGTACGAGAGAAACTTCAACGCTAATGGAAGCATGGCCGTGATGATTATGACCTGAAACAGCGTTGTCGCAATGAGGAGAATCGATCGAGCCCGTTTAATGTGATTCAAGACGTAAAGTCTCTGCGAAGAGTTGATCAAAGCAAGCGCTAAAATGAAGGAAGAACATGACGATGATATGTGGGGTTTAACGTCCCAACACCGTCTTATGATTATGAGAGACGCCGTAGAGGAGGGCTCCGGAAATTTTGGCCACCTGGGGTTCTTTTAACGTGCACCCATCTGAGCACACGGGCCTACAGCAATTTCGCCTCCATCGAAAATGCAGCCGCCGCAGCCGGTATTCGATCCCGCGACCTGCGGTCAGCAGCCGAGTACCTTAGCCGCTAGACCACCCCGGCGGGGCTGAAGGAACATCGCAGCCAGAGCAGTCGTACATGTGCATTCTCTGACCAGGGCTGGGCGGTGTAACATTCAGAGAGAGGGTGACGTAAGGTTTGGCTTATTTTGTTTAACGTTCCCAAGCGATTAAGGCTACGGAAATGTCTTGTTTGAGTCCCCGTGTAATTCCGGTCACCTGGAGTTTCTTGACGTGCGCTGACATCACTAGTGCACAGATATTTTGCGTTTTTCCGCCATCGAAATGCGACCGTGGCGGTCACCATCGAGCCGACGTTTTTAAGGTCAGCAGCAAAGCAGATGGCCATAAGGGCAATGCTTGGAGGGTATGTGCATAACTCTGTTGCCTACCCTGCAATAAAAAGAAGGGGGGCAGAAAGGCCGGTAGGTAACGAGGAAGAGAAAACTTCTGCCTAAAACAAGCACACAAAGCACAGTTCAGCGTCAAGTTCACTTAAAATTGGTTTATTTTGTATGCGATGTCTCAAAAGGCTGAGAAACACTTCCAGATGGTGCATTGAAGTCCAAGGAAGCCGAACCTGAATGTAGTTCCCAATTCTTATAATTAGGAACTAACATAAAATGATGCCAACTAAATAATAAGCGATGTTGTTGGAAGTAATTGTGATGTAAATGCGAAGAAAGAATTGTGGATGAAAAGACAACTTGCCGCCAGCAAAAACCGTACCTGCGACCTTCGCATAACGCGGCCGATGCTCTAACATCGGACTCTTCATCTAACATTCGTTTGGAGTTGCGACGAAGTTCTGCGTTGCACTAAATTATACTTACAAGCAGACCTTATATGGCATTCCCGTACAACTCAGCTGCGTACATTGTACAAATAGAAAACAAAGTATAATTTCTCAATTGCGAAATGGGCACACATCACATGTAGGACGACTGACCAAATCAAGACCTTTTTAAAGCAAGACTATATTGAAACGACTGTATTGACTCACTGTGCTCTCTTCTTGTCCCTAAGGGACAGGAAGAGGGCTGAGTGGGTCAGGAAATAAACGGGTTGTAAGGACATCATAGTCGAAAAGAAGAAGGAGAAATGGTCATGGGCAGGGCGCGTAGCGCGGAGGGAAGATAACCGCTCGTCATAAAGGATCACACACTGGATTCCAAGAAAAGGTAAATTGGTTAGGGGGAAACAGAAAATTAGGTGGGCAGATAAGACTAGGAGGTTTGCGGGTATAACGTGGCTCCAGCAAGCACAAGACCGAGATGACTGGCGGAACATGCATGGGAGAGGCCTTGGTCCTGCAGTGGGTGTAGTCAGTATGATGATGATGATATTGAAATGGGTATCACGCAGATTGAATGAGCCCTGGGGCGACACGTCAGAAAGTATGCGAAGTCCCATAATCTTCGATGAGGCACGTACGAGAAC